TGAGGCTACGCATCATGTCCACAGTTTGGCCGAGCAGATTGCTCGTGAGGATGCTTCCCTCCGCATCCAAAAGTGGTGCGCCACCACTGCTGAGGACCCAGTCAAGTTGACCCGCTGGATCAAGGGTGATGCTGGCGACCCCCCTCCAGTCACTCCTGGTCAGTGGGAGGCCCCTGCGCACCCTCAGTTGCAGGCTGATGCGGCTGTTGCTACTTGGACAGCCTTGTGGTGTCCGCCTCAGGCCCCCGCCCCTGCTCAGCTTTTGCCTCTCCGCAACCTTGCGCAACCTGTGGGCGACCCTGCGCTTTTGCCCACTCTGGATGGGGAAGACCTTCGGAAACAAGTGCGGCTGGCCCGCAACAAGGCTCCCGGACTTGATGGCTGTACTGCTGTTGCTTGGCTTTTGCTCCCTGACCACTTTTTCGAGTGTCTCGCTTCCATTTGGCAAGTTTGTCTCCTTAGCGGCTCTGTGCCCAGCGCTTGGCAGCGCATTCGCATCACACTCATTCCCAAAACTGAGGGGGGCTGGCGGCCCATTGCTATTGCCCCGCTTGCTTGGCGAGTCGGTCTGTCTGTGATTCTGCGGCAGTGCCGGGGTTGGTTTGCGGCCTGGGCTGATCCTGAGCTGATGGGTGGCATCCAGGGCAGGTCCATCCATGATGTCCATGCGGATTTGTGCTGCGACTTGCAAGAAGCCAAAGCTTCCAACACGCCGTTTGTCGGAGTCAAGCAGGATGTGCGGAAATGCTTCGACCATGTTTCTCCTGCTCTTGCCCTGCAAGTGTGGGAGTGGCTTGGCGCTCCCAGGGCCCTCGTTGCCGTGGTCCGGGCGTTCTACACTAACCAGTCTCGCTGGTTTGCGGTTCGCGGCCACTTTGCCTCTCAGCCTGTTGTGCCGGTTCGCAGTGTCCTTCAGGGGTGCCCTGCCAGCGTCGGCCTTCTCAACGGTCTCATGCTGTTGTGGGTTCGGCGGTTGCGTGGGCTTGTTCCTTCCGTCCGCTTGTCCATTTATTTGGACGACCGTACCCTGTGGTGCTCGCAGCGGCAGCCAACACCCCCTTTGGCTCTCCAGATTGCCCAACACACGGATACCATCCTCGGCCTTCAGGTGCATACTGACAAGCTTGCTTCCTGGGCGACCCGCCCCCGTGACCGCCGCCTGTTGCGTGCTGAGCCCGTCCTGTTCGGCGCTGAACTCTCGAAGTTCAAGTTTCTTGGTGTTTGGTACTCGGTCAAATACCGCCAAGGGTTCTTTGAGCCTACCCGGATCACCGCCCTCGCCCGGCAGCGGACTCGGCGCATTGCCCGTGCTGCCCGCTCTCTTCACGTTAGGCGCTTCCTTGTGTCTTCCCTTGTCGTTAGTTTGTTTTCCTGGATTGGCCCTTGGACTTGCATTCCCCGTAAAGTCATCCAAGGCTGGGCCTTTGCCATTGAAACTGCCATTGGGGCCGGTGTCGTTTCTGCTCGGTCCAGATTCTTGTTGTGGGGTGCTTGGGCTCAGCCGTCTAGGCACCCTTCGGTTGCTTTAGCTGTCGCCGCCCTGCGGCAAGAGGTCTCCCGTGTCAGCGGCCTCGGCCATCGTCCTCCGCCCCGTCGCCCTTGTCCTGGCTTGCAGTTTGCCATGAACGCGCTCGGCTTTACTGCTCCCACGCCTGGCACTTGGAGCACTCCGCTGGGCTCCTTTCCTGTTGGTTTCCTCTCCAATGAGGCGCTTGTTGCTGTTGCTCAAGCTTCCTGGCTGCGTCAGCTTTGGTCTGCGGACCCCAAAACTGCTGGCCCGCTTGGCGCTGGGCAAACCCCCTTCCTGGATTTCCATTCCAGGGCCATCGAGGCCTCTTGCCCTCGGGGCCATCTCCGTCGTGTGCTGCATGCTGCTGCTCACGATTGTCGCACCCTTGAGCGGATGCAGCTTCCTGTCACTCAGTGTGAGTGTGGGGATCTCTGCCCCACTCGCACTCATGTGACCTTCCACTGTCCGTCTCGGGTTGCGCATCCGGCTCTCCCTGCCCGTAGTCCTGCTGAGAATCGCTTGCTCGTTCCTGTGCTCTCTGCTCTGCGGCCCCGCGATTGGAGGCATGTTGCTCCGTCGCAAGCGCTGGTCCAAGCATGCGCGTCTGCTCCCCGCCGCCAAGGCAGAGTCGTGGTTGCCACTGATGGCAGCTGCTTGCAAGCCACAAGTTGGAAAGGCATGCGCTGGTTCCGCGAGGCCTCTTGGGCTGTTGTTTTTGAGGGCGCCCCCGCCTTTGCCGGTGAAGTTCACAGCCCGGACCTGTCCCCTGTCGCTGCTGAGCGCCATGCGCTCTTGCGTGCTGTTCTCAGCGCCGCTTGCGCTGGCCTCCCGCTGCTCATCCTTTGTGATGTCCTTCGGCTCCAGCGGGGCCTTCGGCAGAACTCTTGGTGCGGTGATGCCCCTGGCTTTTGGCGCCTCATCCGCGACAACATTCCGCCCGGCTCTGAGTGTCTGTGGGTTCCTGCTCATGGTCGTCGCCCCGACTGGCAGCCCACGTCCCCCCTTGTCGATGCGGCAACTGCTCGCTCCCTGAACGACCAGGCCGACCGCGCCGCCCAGGCGGATGTTGCAGGGCGTCGCCATCACTTCGACGCTGCGGCCACGCAGCATGAGGAGGCTCAACTGTGGGCGGCTGCGGCTGTCCGCCATCAAGTTGATGGCACCGAGATGTGGCATGAGCAGGTCGCCGCTGAGGCTTCTTTGGCCCGGCGATCGCGTGACCTTTAGGCTGTTTAGGCTACCCCGACTTGGCTGCTTAACCCGTGTCAGGTTGCAGTCACAACAACAACAACAACAACAACAACAACAACTGCTTCTTTTGCGGAAAGATTGTGGTGCGTGTTCGAGATTGCAGCATTCCTCAACAGCCAGCAGACGCGAGAAAGACCCCTTGTCGTTTGCCCAACCCTGACTGGGTCAATCTCAATTGCTGTCTATTCAATGGCAACATTTGCGTTTATTCCACTTGTTGTCTTTCCATTTCAGCTGCAACGTGAAATCCAATTTACTCTGCACTTGGCAAGCTTCGCAACTGCTGGTTCTGTTGGGGCGTATTCATGCTGCCACGTCATGCGCGGCTTTTACCGTTCTATAGAGGTCATGCAACGCCAGCTGTTGTCCTTAGAAGTAGCAGATCTAAAATGCAGCTGCTGCAGCACGGGAAGATGCATTGATGGACAGACAGTCTGTGATAGAGAAGTCATTTCCGGAATCATTGCGATATGGTTTGGCAGCACACAGAACTTTGCGGAGCATGTTGGCACCGAAGTTGCGGACGTGATTACATCGCAGCTCGAGCAGAATGCTTTCAGCTATGCTTGGAGTGTTGCTATCGTAAGCCCGGCGCAGTGGGCAATGTTCGATCTTATGCTGTTCGAAGTGCGAAGACCCCAACCGCACTGGGCGTTTTTCATGGTGTGGCTCTCCATTGGGCTTACTATATTTTTGCTCTGTCCTATATTATTCTCGTGGGCCAAGTTCTGTGCTTTCCACCTTCGCCATGAATCCAGCTCCAGATGCGGCGAGGTCTGCAAGAACTTGCTCATGATTCTTTATGTGAGCCCAGTGGTTGTCTTTGGCGCGGGCGCTCTTGGGGTTGGCTGGTTTTTCCCCGTCTGGAATTTGAGGTCGGTTGTAGTTGTAGCCGTCCTTCTGCCTGGCTGGGCTTTCATGTGTCTCCTGCGCAGGCGTGGGAATGGCTACTTGAGCAGATTTCTTTTGCAGCAGAGGCTTGTGAGGAGAGGTGTGCTTGCCCAAGGCTGAAGCACGCACTGCCTGCGAATGCTTTAGGCACTCAGCACAGCTTGAATTTGGCCAGCTATTAGGAAAAAGACACGCTAAGGCCTAGGTTGGTGTTTGCGAAGGGCGTGTGCAGGTCCCCAGCGCCAGCTTCCGGTTTTTGATGGCGTTTCCGGCCTGCAGATGGCCACGAAACAGATCCCGGACCAAGGACAAATCCCACAATGGGTGTCTTTCTTGAGGGTACTCCTTTTTTATGGGTTTTGAAAGGGAAGCGAAAAGGAAACCACCCTTGGCTGGATCTTTGGACTTCAACTTGTTGGGAAACTGTGGCAAGCCAAGTGGAGGTTTCTCTAGAACCGATAGTTTTTGGGGTTCCATGTTAGCCACTGTGTACCCAGCACCCACCCCCCTGACGACTTTCATGGGTTCGGACATGGCAAAATGCAGTTGCTGGAGGTGCTGGAAAACCTGTATTATTGTTTTTATCGCTTGAACTGAAGTGAAGTATGCTGCAGCCTTTTGACAATTATTTGTAGAACGCATGTTCAAGCGATCGCTGCCATTGAAGCTGCTGGTTGCTTTCCTTAGTAAACTTACGGCCAAGGCCTAAGACATATTTCTCCAAGCAAGGAATCTGAATGTTTTTGAGTACCATCACCTTGTGGCCTTTTGGCCTGGTTCGGGGTTGGGCTTTCTGAGGGTTCCCCTGGGCACAGGACGGGCTCATCCTCATTTGTCAAGTCGTTTTTTTTTTTTGTTTTTACTCTTTCCCCTGGTCATAGTTTGTTTGTCACAACTTGTTTCTATGAAAGCTCTTTCCCCTGGTCATAGTTTATTTGTCAAGTCGTGTTTTTTTATGATAACTCTTTCCCCTGGTCATAGTTCTTTCCCCTGCTCATAGTTTGTTTGTCACAAGTTGTTGTTTTGTGATAACTCTTTCACCTGGTCATAGTTTGTTTGTCAGAACTTGTTTCTATGACAACTCTTCCCCCTGGTCATAGTTTGTTTGTCACAAAATGTTTCTGTGATACCTCTTCCCCCTGGTCATAGTTTGTTTGTCACAACTTGTTTCTGTGATAACTCTTCTCCCTGATCATATGTGTTTTGTGTCACAAGCTGTTTCTATGATAGCTCTTTCCCCTGGTCATAGTTTCTATGATACCTCATAGTGACGACTCTTTGGTTTTCCCTTCTCAGTCCGCCGCTCCAACCTGCGAACGTCGCGTCGCGTCGCCCGGGTCGGTCGCAGGTGGTGCCTGGCACTGTGGTGGCGCTGCATCCCGAGTGGGGCCGCACCGCCGCTGTGCCGGGGGCCCGGTTCGATTCTCCGAGAAGCAGACTGCTTCGATGCGCGCAGCTTGGGAGGGACAACTGTCTAACTAACTATGTAGGTGTGGATGTTATATATAAATAAAACGTGACACATAGATACACCTAGTATATTGATACAACTATATAAACATGTTTCATTGTATATATATATATACACATTGCAAGCCTGCGCGGACTAAGCAGACGATCTTGCAAAGAAGGGTGCCAGAGACTGGGAGGTGGAAATTCAATCAGCACCACAACGAGCTCAGGCTTGGCATCGTGTGCGATAGCCGAGACAATGAGGCAAGTGGGTGGGATGCATCGAGCGCCTTTTGCGAAAGCACTTCCTGTGTAGATCATTTGCAACTGAGCAATAGCCTTAAGCTTGTTTCTATGATGAAGCAAAGCCATCATTGCTGTTGGGAAACTTTTTTACATTTTGGCTTATTGTCGTTTAGTGGAAAATCCCTACTTAACTTCAATTGTTTGCTCCCCTTCCAACGTCAACCAAGGAGCCTTGGGATGTGTTTCTTATAGCTCTGGCGCATGTTTGAATTCAATGGCCCTTCATTCACGCATCGGCTTGCCAAGATGGAATCAACATGGGTGGCTTGTCTTGTTTTTGGGTTTATGCCATGGCGCCCCAAATTTAAATGGCTTTGGTGTTCCCTTTAGTTTTCCTTCAAAACCAAAAAAAGGGCGGGGGTACCTCAAAAAATGACACACCCATCTGTACAAATGTTTTGGAGTTCACGCGGTCACATTTGCATCGTTACGATGTGCATGAGTTTCTTTTGGGGATTGTCTCGGGCAAATATTAGCGACCTCCCCCAGATATGATATAGTTGTTTTGTTTCGCCTCCATGTACCATGTATACACACATCGGAATACATACATATATATATATATATGTATATAGCCCCCCCCCCCCCGATGGACCCTGGTTTGGTGAGCTTGAGCTTTGTTTTTCGTGTGTTTTATGCCTTTCTTGCCTCCTTGATTTTGTGGCAAAATGCGGGGGGGGATGCCATATATATATATACAGATATACACTCATATGCAATGTAAGCAATGATAATCAACATCTGCCAGCTGAGAGAGTGTGCATGCATCGCGGAGTGGTGGGACAACTCTGGATTTGTTAGTTCCTTTAAACATTGTGGGATTCAAGATTCAAGATTCCCAGAAGGAATAGTCTCAGATTCTTGAGTCTGGAATCCCGGATGTTTTAAACGTTTTTAAAATACTTCGGAGGTTTTAGAACAGCTTGAAAGGTTTTGGGGATTGGCCAGGATTGACGATTCTCAGGAAATTTGTTTGTGCAATCTTCAATTGGGAATCCTCAATCCAGTGGTAAAGCACTTTCAAGTGTTGGAAGACTTGAATGTTGTTCGGGGTTGGCCAGGATTGACGGTTCTCAGGAAAGTTGCTCTGTGTAATCTTCAATCCAGTGGTAACATACTTTGAAGTGCTTAGCGATCCATGGAAACACTTTCAAGCATGTAAGCTATGCTCAGAGGCGCAGAATCATTAGTGGTGCTATATGTTTGTATCTGTATATATATATATATATACACATGTTCACACACCATCACCCCCCGCCTGAACTATCTGTCGACCTCTGCTCATCTACTACCTCCGCTTTTTGAGCTAGAATGAAATCATGATTTCCTGTCCAAATAAGACTTTGAGTACGACTGATTTAGCTAGAATCGCTGTTTCGAGATAGTTTTAGAAGTTGAACCTCTAATTGAAGTGTCCATTTTGAAACACCGTCTAACAAGTCTAATTTCGGACTTATCTTATGCTACAAAAGGGCCATACTATAACGCAAATCGTATTTCGAATCTCCTTGTAGAAGTCTCTAAATGTTTAGCCATGTTTAGTATGAATCATATTTGAGAATTAGTTTCTATTTAATTGTTACCAACAGCTAATTGAATCATGTTTGTATTGGATTATGTTTAACATTTCATTGTATTTGGCCACAAACTCATCTATATTTGTTGCTAAGGATTCGTTGGATTTTACCCGAAATTACACTTACTTTTTGAGGATGTAACCCCTATCTGGAAAGCACTTGTTTATTTAAGTCATATTTTGACCATAAAACACATTGGGGAACGCCATATCCTTACTAAACTCTATTCGCAATTCCAATTCTAGTTGAAGTAAAATCCTACCTAAACATAATCTCATCTTAAAGCATTTCGGAGGACTCCGGGCTCCAAAATACGAGGCTTTGGGGGGCCAAAATTGGACATGTCGAGAATTTAAATCTCTAGATTCTAGATGTATCATCACTAAAGGGCACCAACACTTGGGGTGCATATGCATATATAGGGCGTTGAGACTCATGCAGGTTTCCTTCTGAGGCAACCCGTCAGCTAGATGGATGGTTCATTTCATGCACTTGCCTCCGGAGCAGAGGTGCCAACAGCCGTGAAGACCAGCTTGCCTGTGCTCAGCAGCCTGGGCTGAAGAATATGCGACTTGCGACCGGGGGCAAGGGAAGGAATGGAGGGAGGGCAGGCTCCTGATGATTGTTTTGAGATCCGAAGGCTCGGCCACCTTTGATGTTTCATGTTCAGCTTGAGTAACTGACACAAAATGGCGCCCTTGGCAAATGGAACCAGAGACTCAAACCTGCGTAATTCTTTGGCTCTTTAATTTTGAGCCAAGGTCTCATATGAAACGCATCATCATGACATTTTAGCTGGGGGCAGCCCCGCTTTCCCATGCTGAAAGGCCCGCCCAACGGAAGGTGTCTCTGACATGAGTGTGAGCTTTTCGAGCCGAGCCGAATCCGTGTGTTTGCATGGGCTTGGCTAGATCTCTTCATTGCTGTGCAGAGAACTGAGCGTGCCCCTGGGGAACATGCATCGACATCAACCGCCCATCCAGGGATCCCGGAACCCGGATGCAAGCCATTGATCGGTCGGTGGCTTGGCAACGAGTGAAGCAGCTATGGATGCAGACCTGGGGCTCTGGCTGGGTATTGGGGAGCAACATCTCCAGAGAGCACCAGGTCTGCCAAAGTACATCAATCATACGCCGTCCCTTTTAGGGTTTAGTGGTCGCTTCCATTTAACCCACCAAAAGTTAAAAACCTTTAGCAGGGGATGTGAGGGCCCAGATATTTCGGACTAGACCATGTTGACATGATAGAGCAAGCTTAGCTCATGAGTTCGTTGGACGCACCCGCCGTTGTCATCATTGTCGGGTGTGCCCAGATTCAGCCAGCAGAGGCCCTTCCAGTCCAGGTTCGGCAGACCGAAACCGGCCTTGGATTCGGGGAGCGAGGGGTGAACCAGCAGCTTGGGGTTGAAGAACCAGGGGTTTTGCATGGCAATGTCACTCCCTCAGACTAACATGGAAGCTCCCAGACTCCGTTTTTGCAAAAAAAAACAGCAAGTCTTCCAAAGGAGCCTGGGAGCTTCCATGTTAGTCTGGGGGAGGGTTGATTGTGCCTTCTAGTTCATCCCGATGAATCCATGGAAATCTGCGGGGATTCGCTTTGACCAGCTGGTTTTGCTCAGCAGGGCAGGTAGCCCGCTGTTGTCCTGCCCCAGGTTGTGGCTCTTATAGCTGCATGCCGCCGGAGGGCCCGGGTGAGAGAAGGGGAGGTTGGGGGTCTGTGCTTCTTGGTTGGCTTGGTCGGCTTTGGGGAGGCTCACATAATGCACCTTTCCCTCTAACTAGACGAAACCAAGGCGATATAGTTGGAAAGACTCGTTTTTTTTTTTTTCGGAGGTTCCAGATTCAACCATGCAGTGATTGTTTGTTTGCTTTTTTTGTGTGCGTGTGGGGCCAGCAGAAGGGAACCACACTGACATATTTTGGTTTGGCTCCCCCATGGGGATAGCCCGTCGAAAAGTGCTGCTTCTAAGGGGAGGAGTCTCACCGATTTCCTTCATCAGACCCAGCAAGCTCCGTGGGAGTTCGGTTCCAAAGGACAGGAACCTGAAGGGGCAGCCCGTTTGTCGGGCCCCAAGCCAGTGGGGTCTGTGCCGTTTTTTTGTTGGACCTTTTTTTGGTGGTTTCAAAAGGACGCAAAAGGAAACGTGGCAAGGTGGCTTTGGGGTCCAGATCCTAAAAACAAGACGAGCCACCCGTTCCGCTCTCACACCTCGCGAGTGCAGCGTTCCTTGTGGGTCCAGGCAGAGCGCCTGTTGCGACTCCTCCAAAACGGTGCTCACCACCGTCAGCGGGGACCTGGAGGCGTCACGCACCATTTTGCTTGTTGCATGACACGCGTTCTCATTCCAGTTTGGTTGAGATTCGGGTTTTGGTCATTAGTTGATATTCTTGTTGAACCTCTTGATGTCTCCTCGCAACAGGAAGTAGGAGGGCATGTGCACTACAAAGACCTGTCTTGCATAGCACCAGTTGATCATGCCCAAGAGCAGGGTGACAAATTGAACGCAGCACGGGTCTGTCTTGCTTATCTTTTTTTGTTTTTTTGTTTTGTTGTTTCAGCCTTGTTGCGTGTTTCAGCAAAAGTTCCGGTCATGTATTTTCATACTCCAGCCGAATAATTGCGGCTATTGCTAGGGAATCGGCAGGACATCCGCGGAAAATGTGCGAAACTCAACAGACAATACGCGGAATAAATCAACGCCCAGTTGTTTTTCTGGTTGGGTACCGACACGAATCGTAACCAATAACTAGCTTTATGGAAGTATCCGCTGAGCAATCGGCTGAACGTTGCTCATTGCAGAGCCATCTGCAAATTTGTTCCTCAACGATATCCAGTTTGACACCTAGCAGGTCTCCTAGCCTGAGCCCTGGACCCGAAGAACTGCGCTACAGGAACATGTCAGCATGCGTCAGGATGCCGAAGCTAGGTCCCCCAGTGCCCTTCTCTTCTTTTTTTGGGTTGGGAGGGATCCCCTACTAAAATAGACTACAGAAAAACAATGGCACCAACTTATTCTAACCTCTCTACTGAACCTAGGAAGGAAAGTCGTTTGCACCACTAAGACCAACCAAAAAGCCCCTGGTTTGTGTCAGCTTTCTCATGCCCGGAGGCGTTTTTCGCGTACGTCGCGTCCTAAAGCTGACGCGTTGTGGCAGGTGTGCGTCAAGTTCCTGGATGCCGTGGCCTTGACGCGTGTGTTGTCAAAACTGTGGCACCTGCCCCTTTAAGAACCCTGGTGCCGTCTTGCCGAGGGGCGGACCCGAACCAGGACCCGAATTTGGACAACCCTCCCCCCCCGGGTATCAGAGCGCGCAGCGCGCAGCCTGCCACGCAAGCTGCGTTGCCAAGTCAACTGTACCACCGTGGGACGAGTCGTTGGTTTCTTGTCGCAAGCAACGCACCTTTTCCAGCCAATGCCTTCAACAAGATGCGTGGGATATGCAACGGTCGTTTTTGTTCATTGTTTTGACAACGTGTCTATATTGTGTGTGTTTGCCTGTTTGCATTAACATGGGCGCTGCAAATTGCTCATGTCAAGGAGTTTGACTTGGGGTGTCTTCTTTTGTGGCTACCCGACTTTTGTGGTTTCAGAGGGACATCAAAAGGAGAGCCACAATTTTGATGGCCGGCGTGTCGCTTTTTTGGTATCTGCGCCTTTTTCGTGGCTTAGGGAAACCAAAAGGACACCCAAAGCCATGGGAGTCTTAACAGACGCAGGCTTGCCGAGTGCTAGGTGACGCTGCAAGGCCAGAAGGAGGGCGCTTGCTTGGGCCTCGGCCTTTCGCATTTGAATTTTTTGGATCTGTGGCTCAAAAGACCCGGAAGTCCAAGATGGGCTGCCCGATCGGTAGGTGGAAACATGATTCGGTACCCAACATCTGCGCTTGGCCCCTCCGATCGTTGAATTTTGAGCCACGGCCATTTGTCATAATTGTGTCCAGCGTCGGCATGCTTTTGGAGCCGAAATCAACTCGCGATGTTCACTGAACTGGAGATATTGGACATTAAATGCCATAGGGCACAGCTGATTGACTATGCGCGTGGTTGATGTGGGACAGCCTTTTTGAATAGATGCACTGTGTCGAAAGAATCTGAACC